CTTATGAGGCTACCATTACCCTGACACCAAAATCAGATAAAGACATAACAAGAAAAGAGGATCGCAGTCCAATATCCTCTGTGCATACAGGTGTGAGAGTCCTCAACAAAATAATACTAATAAACCAAATCCAATGGTTTATTAGAAAGAGATACACTATGAGCAAGTGAGATTTATTCAAGGAATGCAGAGGTGTTGTGCACTGTGAATGTAATATAAATAATTGAACTGTATACCTAAAATGGCTAAAATGCCAAATTTTATGTTACACATATTTGACCATCATTTAAAAAAAAATTAAGGAAGGAAGAAAGTGTATGACATCTGGCCATCAGGGGTGACAGTGGTAGGGAGAGGAGCCCTGTCAAGGGGCCTCTCTGAACTGGGCCACCTTGCCTGAGTTGAGAAATTAAACTGAGCCTAAAGCTGCCTCCCTAAGGGCCAAACTACCTTCACATGTTATTGACCAGTCTGCAACTTAACTTGAGAATAAACTCTTGAAACCAAGCCGTTGGGTCTCAAACTGATCAGGTGTGTTCAAATCGGCAAGCACTGAGTGGAGACCCATCAGGCTCTTTTCTTTCTTTCTTTCTCTTTCTTTCTTTCGTTTTTAGTATCGTGGGATTGTGTATGTGTGTGTGTGTGTGTGCGTGTGTGTGTGTGCGTGCTGCTGGCATTTAACCCTGGGTCTTGTGCATGTGAGGCAAGCACTCTTCCAACTGAGCTATATCCCCAGCCCTTCAGCACTGGGGATTGAACCCAGGGGCACTCTACCCACGGGCTAGCTCCCCATTCCTTTTCATTCTTCATTTTGAGTCAGGTCTCCATAAGTTTCCATGTTACAGAGACTGGTCTTGAACTTGCGATCCTCCTGCCCCAGCCTCCAGAGTAGCTGTACAGTCGTGAGCTGCCATTCCCATCTCTCTAATAGGCTATTTCTGTATGGCACTTCCTTTTTCTCCCTGTAAATACTGACTTTACTGGTTCAGGGTGCTGCCTGACTCATGAATCACTTCTTTGTTCAAATAAATGCTGCTGAATTAAATTTGTTTAAAATTTCTGTTCTAACAGATTGGTATCAGAAGTGCAATCTGAAGCAGACCTACAGCAGGGCTTGGTGGTGCATGCCTGTCATCTCAGTGGCTCTGGAGGCTGAGGCAGGAAGATCTTGAGTTCAAAGCCAACCTCAGCAATTTAGCAAGTCCCTAAGCAACTTAGTGAGACCCTGTCTCTAAATAAAATATATTTTTAAAAGGGCTGGGGATGTGGCTCAGTGGTCAAGTAGTCCTGAGTTCAATCTCCAATACTCTCCCCCAAAACAGCAACAACAACTAAACAAAGCAAAACAACGCAGACCTCCAGAGATGCCCCAGGAGTACCAAGTGCCCAAGCAAAGTGACCCACTAGGACCCACAGTGACCTTCAATCTGCTGCAGCAACTGAGTTCATGGGGGAGTCCTTTATTAGATTCAAGCTCTACAAATTTGTATTTTAAACTCTCTGGCTTTAAGCAAAAGAGAAATGACTCATCACAGGAAAACCTCAACACAAGTAATATCTGACTTTGCATTAGAAACAAGGGAGCCAGTGGCATCTTTAAAGTACTTAAGGAAAAACCTGCCAACCAAGAATCCTTTTTTTATTTGTTCTTTTTGGTCTTTGACATATCATACATACATGGAATATAACTTCCCATTCTTGCAGTTGTACATGATGTGGAGTTATGCTGGCTGTGTATTCACATATGAACACAGGAAAGTTATGTCCGATTCATTCTACTGTCTTTCCCATTCCCAACCCCCTCCCTTTCCCCTTCTCCCTCCATCCAATCCAGTGAACCTCCACTCTCCAGTGCACTATTGTGAGTCAGCATCTGCATATCAGAGAGAACATTTGGCCTTTGTTTTTGTGTGTGTGTGTGGGGGGGACTGGCTTATTTCACTTAGCATGATAGTCTCCAGTTCCATCTATTTACCCACAAATGCCATAATTTCATTCTTCTTTTTGGCTGAGTAATATTCTGTTGTGTATATATACCACATTTTCTTAATCCATTCACCTGTTCAAGGGCACCTAGGTTGGTTCTATAGCTTAGCTGTTGTGAATTGAGCTGCTATAAACTTTGATGAAGTCACATCACTGTAATGTGCTGATTTTAGTCCTTTGGGTATATGCCAAAGAGTGGGGCAACTGGGTCAAATGGTGGTTCCATTCCAAGTTTTCTGAGGAATCTCCATGCTGCTTCCCGGAGTGCAAACCCAGAATCTTCTGTCCAACAAAGCTAAACTGAGTCTAAAGCTGCACTAAACAAAAATCTCATGGAACCACAGCAGTATATATGATCTGTCACTGACTGAATGATTTTTTGGTTTTAGATTCATAGCAAATTTGAAGAGGAAGTAAAAGAATTCCCAGAGCCTGGGATTCTGCACAGGTACCATCTTCCCCTGTGTCAGCTCTGGGCCCCACAAGAGCACCTGTGGTACAATCAAAACTCCCAGTGCCACGTGGTCATCACGCACAGGCCAAAGTACACACTGGGGCTCACTCTTGGTGTTACAGGTTCTGTAGGTCTTAAAAAATGTAGAGTGGCATGTACCCACCTCTGTCGTATCACACAGGACATTTTCAAATCATTCCCCCACTCCTCTGACTCCTACCAACCACTGATCTTTTTTTTTTTTGGTAGCGGGGATTGAACTCAGGGGTGCTTAACTCCTGAGCCCTTTTTAAAATTTTATTATATTTAGAGACAGAGTCTCACTAAGTTGCTTGGGCCTTTGCTAATTTCCATCCTCCTGCCTCAGCCTCCTGAGCCACTGGGTTTACAGGCCCTTATCACTGCACCTGGCTCGGTACCCCACCCCTTTTTTTCTTTTTATTTTGAGACAGGTTCTCACCAAGTTGCTGAGGGCCCTGCTAAGTTGCTGAGGCTGGCTTTGCACTTGGGATCCTCCTGTTTCAGCCTCCCAGGTCTCTGGGACTACAAAGTATTTTGCCAAATACCTTTTCTAATCTATTGACATAGTCATGCAATTCTTCCCTCTAGCCTGTGGATGAATGTGTTGAATTACATTAGTTGACTTTCAAATGTTGAACCAGCCTTGCATAGGAAGGATAAATCCCAAGAGGTGGTGGTGTATTGTTCCTTTTATGAATTGTTGGATTCAATTGCCAAATAGTTTTCTTGAGGAATTTTGCTTCTATATTTGTTTTCCTTTCTTACAACATTTTGTCTAGTTTTGGTGTTGGAGTAATGCTAACTTCACAACGAGTTAGGAAATAGTTTCTCTGCCTCTGTCTTCTGGATGAGATTGTAGAGAACTTGTATAATTTCTTCCTAAAACATTTTGTAGAATTTATCTGTGGACCCATCTGGGCCTGGCCTCTTATTATTGATTCCATTTCTTTAATAGCTATAGGCCTATTCAAATACTTTCTTTTTGTTTGTGTTTTGGCAAAGTTTGTCTTTCAAAGAACTGGTCCATTTTATTTATGTTATCAAATTTGTGAGCATAGTGTTGTTCACAACATTCTTTGTTATACTTTTTTTGGTTTTGGTACCAGGGATTGAACTCAGGGGCACTCAACCACTGAGCCACATCCCCAGCCCTATTTTGTATTTTATTTAGAGACAGGGTCTCACTGAGTTGCTTAGCTCCTCGCGTTTGCTGAGGCTGGATTTGAACTCACAATCCTCCTGCCTCAGCCTCCCGAGCTGCTGGGATTACAGGTGTGTGCCACTGTACCTGGCTTTTTGCTATACTTTTAATGTCTGTGGGATCAGTGGTGATGTTCCTATTGCTTTTCTTTCTTCTTTTTTTTAAAGTGTGTGTGTGTGTGTGTGAGAGAGAGAGAGAGAGAGAGAATTTTTTAATATTTATTTTTTAGTTTTCGGCGGACACAACATCTTTGTGGTGCTGAGGATCGAAACCAGGCCACACGCATGCCAGGCGAGCGCACTACCGCTTGAGACACATCCCCAGCCCCTGCTTTTCTGACATTAGTAATTCATGCCTTTTTTTTTCACAGCTGGGCTACAGACTTTTCTTTTTCCTGGTGCTAGGGAATGAACCCAGGAGTGTTTAACCTCTGAGTCACGTCCACAGCCTTTTTCTGTTTTATCTTGAGACAATGTCTCACTGAGTTGCTTAGGGCCTCACTAAATTGCTGAGACTGGCTTTGAACTTGCCATCCTCCTGCCTCAGTCTCCTGAGTTGATTCAGGTGTGCTCCACCATGCCTGGCTTGGGCTAGAGACTTATCAGTTATAATGACGTCTTCAAGAAGCAGCTTCAGGTTTTATGGATTTTCCCTCTTGCTTCCCTGTTTTTCATGTCATTGATTTCTGCTCTATTTTTCATTATTTGTTTTCTTCTGCTTACTTGGGATTCAATTTGCTCTTTCTAGTTTTCTAAGGTGAAAGCTTAGACTATTGATTTTAGATCTTCCTTCTTTTCTAATAAATGCAGTCCGTGCTATGAATTTCCTTCAATCACTGAGTTCACTGTCTATGACAAATTTTGACAAGTTAGAGTCCACTCAAATAAATACGGTGCCACCTCCTGGGCCGTGAGAACACAATAACCCGAGTAGCCTGACTCCCTCCCTGCTGCCCTGGGCCTTTCATCTCACTTATCCACTGACTGCAATCACTCAATATGTGGCTGTGGTCAGAATATGAAAAATAGGGCCCAAGATGGTAGATGTGTGCTTAGCATGTGTGAAGCTCCAGGTTTGATCCCCAGACGATATACAATAAAAAAAAGTTTTGATTTTGCCGTAGCTCCTTCTCTAATGCTCTTACCTAGTTTATATCGTCTCAGCCTCTGGCCTGCATGAAGCTCCTTCCCCTGCAAGTTTTGTTGTTGTTGTTGTTGTTTTGTTTTAAACACTTCGTGCAAAGTAGCTCTCCTGCCCCAGGACTCAATTTTTTGTTTGTCTGTGTAAGTTCTCGTTTCATCTCATTTCATCAGAAGGATCCATTCACAAAATACAGAATTCTAGGTTGATGGGGTTTATTTATTTATTTTTTCTCTTTACACTTTAAATATTTCACTCTGCTCTCTTTTCACTGCTCGGGTTTCCAAGAATTCTGATTTAATTCTTCTTCTGGCTACACATGGTGTTTCCTTCCTCTGGCTTCTTTTGGGATTTTTCTCTTTAACTTTGAATTTGTGAGTGTGGATCTAAGAGGCCTAGGTGTAGATTTTGGGGACGTCTCTCTTACTTGGTGTCCTCTGAGCTTCCGGAATCCAGTGTTTGGTGTCTGATATTATATTGAGAGACTCTCATCATTGTTTCGAATATTTCTTCTGTCCTCTTCCCGCTTTCTTCTTCTGTTTTCCGAAATATATGATGCACCTTTTGTAGTTGTCCTACAGTGCTTGAGTATTTTTTCTGTTTCAGGCTTTTTTCTTTGTCTTTGAGTTTCAGAAGTTTCTTTCTTTCTTTTTCTTACAAAAACAATGTCTAGACCATGTAGAAGAGATAAAAGTTACTTCACCTCAATTTATAATGGCTCAATATTATTTTATCCCTCATGTTTAACTGCTCAGATCACTGAGAGACTATGGCAGCAAATAAATGAAAAGGTGAGTTTTGGAGGTTTCTGTTAACATATCCTCAAGTTCACTGATTCTCAGCCATGTCCGGTCTGATAAGCTCATCAAAGGCACTTTTCACTTGTTACAGTGTTTTTTAATTTATTGGGTTCCTTTTTGTTACTATAATGGAATACCTGAGGCAGGCTAACATTATAAAGAAAAGAGCTTTAGCTCACAGATTTGGAGGCAGAAAGTCCAAATAGCATGGTGCAGATTCTGGCAAGGGCAGTGGATGGCAGAGATTATATCACCAAACAGGAAGCCAGAGAGAAACTGGGGCCCCTCTAAGAGCACACCCTACAATTAACCTGAGAACCTCACTCTAGGTTCTACCTATAAAGTTTTCACTGCTTCAACAATGCCACCTGAACATCAAGCCTTCTGCACACGGACCCCTGGAGGGACAAAGTGTACAGCAGCACTTCCTTTATTCTTTCTTTGAATTTTCTCCGTTCTGTTATTACTGCCTAAGTGCCCTTTACGTTGTCTCCCTTCTCTACTAGAACCCTTAGCATATGGTTATCCCCAGTCCGAAAATTCCAGCACGCTGCTCTATCCAAGTCTGGTTCAGATACTTTATCAGTTTCTTCAAACTGTTTTTGCCTTTTATTAGGCCTTGTTATATATTTACTTATTTATTTAGGTGCTGAGGATTGAACATAAGACCTTGTGCATACGAAGCAAGTGCTTTACCACTGACCCACGTCCCCAGCCCTGCCTTGGCATTTTTCATTTCTTTCTCCCTGAGCCCCCTCCGTCCTTTCTCATTTCTTTCTTTCTTCTTCTTCTTTTCTTTTTTAAATTTAGAACATTATATTTCTACATGGTGTCTGGGTTCCTTTCGACACAATTATACAGACAAGGAATTCGATTCCAATTCCCATTAGCCCTCTCGTTTCCTCCCCTCCTCCCTCTGCCCTGCCCAGGATTTTTTTGTTGAAAGCTAGACATGACTAGCTCTCCGTACCTGCCAGTCTGCCCCTCCAGTGTTGGAGAGCAGCGGCTTGCCCGTGACCTTGATTCTCTGGCAGATCTAAGAAATTGTCGATTTTCTGTTGTTCAGTGTTTACCTGTTTTGATGGAGTGACCCTCCCGTGCCAGACCAGAAACAAGGCGCCCCACCGGGTTCTTCCTCCGGCTCTGTCTTTCTTCCCATCAGTATTCTTTATGTGATGTGAGTTGCCATCTTTCTGTCGTTTATTTCTTCAAGTCCTAGAGTCTCCAACACTGGGACAACATCCTGTGGTGGAAATCTCGGTCCTTGTCCCGGGTGCTGGTCCAATAATAACACCATTTTGAGAAAAGGGAGAAAGAAAGTTGATTGCTTTGCTAGCAAAGGTGAACCACGGGGCACTCCTGTCCCAGAGGCTGTGAGGGGGCTTTTGTAGAGGTGACTCAAAGGCTGCATTTCACATGCTCTCTGTTGGAGTTGGGAATTCACGTGTTAATTTGGGAAATAGCCATTTCTGAGGTCTTCTGGTACCATCCCCAAAGTCTGGATTACTTCTTTCCTGCGGTGGGTGAGTCCTCAAAGGACAGATAACCCAGCCTAGGGTGGGGAAGAAAGGTAATTCCGTTTCTTCTGAGATCAGGAAGGGGGAGAGATCAGGAAAGAGCAGGGAAAGAGGAAGAGAGAGAAACACATCATTTTAAAAATCACTTGCAGTGGCAGAGCAGCAGGGCTATGTTCAAAGCATAAAGTGGACCGTGGTTACAATCCCAGACAGTTTCTATTGCCTGAGTGAATGTGTTTTGCTGTGTATCATTCTTTCCCGTTTCTTGACATGTATCCCAGATTTTTGTTTGTTTTTGTTAGAAAATAGACATTTGAGGCCTTGCATGGTGGTGCATGCCTATAATCCTAGTGACTCAGGAGGCTGAGGCAGGAGGATCACAGGACGGCAGCCTTGGCAACTTAGCAAGGCCCTGAGAAACTGATGTGACTCCATTTTTGAGAAACCAGCCTCTACCTCAGAGCAGGGCCAGTCCAAAGGGGGGCAGGGGATGACCCTTGTCCTTGGAAAACCTGTTCCTAGGCACATAAGCTACCCTGCTGAGTCATTCATCTGTACTAGATGTCCATGACTCAGCTAATGCAAGTTCCAGAAAAGACCAAAAGAATGCTTGAGGCCTGATTCGGACCATAGCGACAACCAATCAGAGTGAGACAGGGAAAATATCTGAAATGCCCGGTGACCCTCCCAGTAGTTTCGGTGATTGATAATATGATTAGGCAACCCTGCAGTTTAGCATATACACTCTCGCAACCTCTTGCTGCCTAAACCAATCATTTCAAATGTATCCACCACTTAAACTAACCAATCACCCCTTCCTGACTTGTTCCCGCCAGTGAATGTACTAATCAATGTTAAGAGTTGTTGTTTGATTTTCCCGTAGTATGAAATGATTTGCTGTGTGATGTTGTGACGCATAGAGTATCCCCCCAAAACCTATAAATCCTCACTGAACTAAGGATCAGGACTCACTCTCGGGACCGCTGCGTAGGAAACGGTTGTGAGTCCAGGCTCCAGCTTGCAATAAAGACTCTTGTGTGATTGCATCAGATTCGGCTCCTGGAGATCTATTGGGGTCCCACGAATCTGGCACGTCAGCCCTAAGCAACTTAGAGAGACTCTGTCTCAAAGTAAAAATATAAAAAGGGCTGGGAATGTTGCTCAGGGGTAAAGCCCCTCTGGGTTCAATCCCCAGTACCAAAGGAAAAAAATAGGCATTGTAGGTTATATATTGTAGCAATCTGTGCATTTCCTCTTCCTTGAGTTCATTATTATTTGTTCACCTATGTGTGGACTGTCTGACTGGATTATAACAGTCCCCTATGTGTTGTAGGCACCTACCTGAGGTGTTAAGGCCATGGTGTGACTCCTTGGAGGGGCCAGAGCTTTGGGTGTGCCTAGTCACTCCAAGGTCTGGGCAGGGCTCTCTCCCTGAGCACACCCAGCAATTAAGCTCCACTAATTGCAAGCCAATTGTTCAACTGTCTTCAACAAGACTCAGGAATATAAATTGATTTGAGAGAGGAATCCATTACGGTCTGGAATCCTTTGAAGACAGAGTCAGATATTCATTCTGACAGCATCTCCCCTGCCCTCCTCCCCAGCCCCGGGTCCCTGTGGCCTGGGCCAGGCTGGGTGTTTTTCAGTATTGGTAAGCATTTACAAATAAGCAGAACAATAATGTAAGTGTGTGGAAGAACGGACTGTGTGGGGCATGGGGCTGGGGTTCACAGGTGGCGGGGTGGTGTCTTCTCTACCCTGCAGGATTAACACCCCTTCAAAGATTCCAGAAGGGCCCCAGCCCCACCACCTGGCCTCCAGGCCACTGCCCTGCCCCCTGCACTGTGAACAGAGCAGGCTGGGAGATGGGGCAGAGGAGGAAGTGCAGCAGGCAGGGGCAGTGGTGAGGCCACCCTGCTAGTCCCTGGTCACCACGGCAGGAAGCTGAGCAGGAGGTGGAACAGAAGGGCAGCCCCCAGGCAGGGGGGCACCTGAGGAGTCATCTGGGTCCCCGAGGTCAGCCGGTCACCATAGTGGTCCAGGAGCATCAGGGCCATTCCATTGGTCCAGCCAAACCCCTCCTGGAGACAGGCAAGGCCTGTGGGGCCAGATCTCGGGGGAGCCCAAGCCTCTGTTTTGAGGGTGTGGGATTCCCTACCCCAGGAGCTCTGTCCCGCCCATCCCCAGGGGTACCAAGGAGCACCAGTCAGGTCCTCCCTGTGGGCCCCCAGACAGGGCACACTGGGGCCCAGAGGGTCAAGTCGGTTCTTGTGGACAGTGGAGCCCAGGAGTTGTAAGGTGTTGCCAGCTCAGCCCTGGCCTGCTCACCTGAACTTCATACTCCCCTCCTCCACCTGGCTGTCCACCATTGCTGATGTCATACTGGGGACAAGAGGGCAAGCTGTAGGTCAGGAGCTGTCCCCAAGCCACCACTCCAGCCCCAGGCAACCAGCCTTGGAGCCCTTGGGAGATGCTCTGGCCTGAAGCTCTGGCCCCTGCAGTGCCTGGCAGTGGCCACTGGGCGCCGCCACTGTCCTGGCTGCACAGTCCAGGGTCTGCCAAGCCTGACTCTTCCCCACCTCACCTGGGGGAGGAAGGTGAGGGACATCAAAGTTGGTTCGGATCCAATTCTGGGCCAGTTGAAAAGTCACTTCCTTGGTCCGAGGCGAAGAGGACTTGGCCAAGCCTAGACTCCACCCCAAGCAGAACCTGAATCTTCAGAGCCCCCTTCCCTGGCACAACAGAAGCCTGAATCTTACTGTCCCACAGAGGGAATGAGGCCTGGCTGGGTCCTGAGACCTCTTGAACCAGAGGCCACCCTGCACTTTACCCAGGGCTGAGGTTTGGAGGGAGAGGAGGGCTGGTTATACTGGACAGGGGGGAGGATGTGTTAGCTGCGGGGCAGAGAGAACAGAGAAAGGACCAGGGGTCCCGCATCCTTAAGTCACCTCCCCAGTCCCGGAGCAGCTGGGGTCCACCTTGGCACAGATCCCCTTCCCACCTGCCTACCTCTGATGACCAGATCCTGCAGGGGGGCCCAGGCATTGGGGAAATCCCACTGCTGGCCTGTGTTCCGGAGAGAGGTTGGAATCCCATGCTGGTAGGTTAGGACCTGGCTGTCCTAGAAGGTTCCAGACATTGCTGGGACTGTGGGTGGAGCCTGGGCAGGGAGCCAGGATGCTGGGCCCTCAGGGAGCAGAGGGGCCCTTCCTCCCCTCCTCTTCTTGGCTCACTGCTGTCCCCTGGTGGCCTGAGTGGGACCCGCAGGCAGGACAGGCACAGACAGCAGTGGGTAGGTGGCTGGCCTGCCAGGTCCCTGCTCAGTGAGTAGAGGGCAGTCCTGTCTCCAGGGGCTCAGAGCGGCCAGCTGTCCCTCACCTCCAGGTATTTCAGAGCCTTGTCCACGGTGGCAGGGTCAGAGAAGCAGCCGGCCCAGAGCGGGGCGAGGTTGGAAGGGTAAAACTCCAGGTTCTTGCCCTTCTCTGTGTCGTAGTCGAACCAGGCGCCTTTCTGCTCATCCCACAGGAGGGCATTGAGGGCGGCCAAGCGCTGGGCCCGCAAGTTTCTGTACCTTTCAGCCTGGGAGTCGTTCCCTGGTGGTGGCATTGCATTTGGACTGAACAAGCAGAGACCTGCCCTTGGGTCCTAAGGAAAGAGCTTCTGAGGTCTGAAGTGGAATATCTGCCTCTAACCCCTCGTTTCAACCAAACAGCCTCCCCAGCCTCCTCAGGCCAACCTAGACTGCGGCCACCTCCAGGCTACCGAGTGCTGCCCCCTGTGCCACGTGGCCAACTCGCTCCCCACTGGCTCTCCCCTGCCTGAGCTCCTGGGCCAGGCCTCTCCACCAGGGATGGGACTCGTGCCCTGTGTGTGGGGAACTTCCTCCCCTTTCTCTGAGGCTAAGAGAAGCCAGCAGTTTGCCCAAGTTCACCCAGGCCCTGGCCCTCCCTGGCACTGAGAGCTGTTCAGCATGTTTGTGCTGGCACAGCCCCTTCCTCCCTGACCTGAAAACACCTGCACCCTCTTCTGCTGGTTCCTCAGAATCGCTGAACCTCCCACACTAGAGCCGGCAGGAATGGCAGAGAGGACCTGATGTGCAAGCCCCGGCGGCTCCTGCCCTTGCTGTTCCCGGGACACATTCCTCCATATCTACCACACCTGGGGAAAGCGTAGGGGTTTCCTTCCCTCTTGGCCAGACACTGTGGTGGAGGCTGGCCCCTTGGATCTGGCTTGTTGGTGACAGCTGTGATGTGAGGATAAGGGGACACGGGGGGACACAGCCTCTCAGTCACTGCCGGGTGGTCACCTGCCCAGTGCCAAGCTGGGTGGTCAGCCTTCTACTCAGAATCCAGTTGAGCCAGGTCCTCAAGGGCCAGTAGCAGGGGGTTGAGGACACCAAGGCTTGGCCTGATCAGGCCCTGACCACCTGGACGAGCAGCCGCAGACCTGGAGCAGAGCCTGGCCACTGCCTGCTGCTGCCAGGGCTGTGGCATGTGGCGCTGCGGACCCTGGAGTGCTGGGGAACTTGGAGCCAGGCAGTGTCCTGGGCAGGGCCAGGCCCGCTGATGTGATGTTCCCAGGGACTGGAGAAGGCCTGGTGTGTCGGTGTGCGTGTGAACACGTTTGTGTGTGTTTGTTGGGAGGTCTTAAAAGTCTAGTGACAAACATGGCTGAGAGAAGGAGGGTCCTCCTCCCAGACATGGCAGTGAGCTCAACAGAAAACACTCAGCCAACCAGCCTCTCTGAAGTCCTCACTGCTACTGCTCAAGACAAAGCCTGATTGTTCCAGATACTGTCTTTCCCTTCACGCTCCACAACTGATCACCAACAAGTTCAATCTTCAAAATAAATCCCCTTATCGAACCACTCAGCACCATTCCAGGCTACCCCTGGAGACAAACCAGGGTCTCCTCTTTCTGGGAGCCCCCTCCTCCTTACACTCAGCCTGTTCTCACCTCTATCCTGGCCACAAGAAACTTCTTCCTGATCCTTGAAAGGTGCCTCAGGGCCTCTGCATGCAGTTTTTATGCCTGGATTGTCCCCTCCCTGATCCAATCAGGGACCGTTCCTTCCACTATTCTGCTCCCCAGAGACACCCCCTTCCTCTTGTCCAACACCCTCTGTTCACCCTGAGCAGTTCCTCAGCTGCATTCACTGTGACTTGTGCCTCTCTCCCTATCTAACTTCCATTCATGCTCTTCTTGCAAGAGCTAGTGAGGTGATCAGGGTGGGCGAAGACAGCTCCGCAAGTCCACCTGGAATGAAGAGTGGTTGGCGCCCTGCTTGCAGGAGGCAGGATGGGCTCACTTTGTAGTTGGCGATGTAAACCAAGACTCAGGAGGGAGGTCTGACTTGCCCTGGGGCAGAGAGAGAGAATATCAGGTCAGGGCCTACCCAGGAGTTCTGGAGGCCTTAGGCCCCCTCTCACACCCAGGCTGGGGACACTGGGCAGAATGTTTGCTAGAACAGTCCTGTGGTTCAAGGAGCGACTTGGAGGGCAGGCTCTGGTCAGCAGCTCCTGGACTGTGCACAGGCCATTCTCAGGCAGCTTCACCTCGTCCCAGGTCTGGGGGCTCCATGCTGAACACTGTGCCAACTGTGCAGGGAAACGGGGCCCCAGGCTCCTTCAGGCTAAGGCTGCATCTTACAGAGAACCTCCCAGGGGTGTAGGGCAGACTTGCCCAAAGATGGTGACTTGGCAGCAGAAGCAGGCCAGGATGCCTGATGGCAGAGCCTCCTAGAATTAGGGCAAAGAGTCAGGGGCCTGTAGTGAGGGGGCTGGACATGGGGCTTGCTCCTCTGCAGCTTGACCCCTGGCCTGTGTACTGCTGCCCTCTCCTCCCAGGGCAGAGCCTCCCACTTGGCCAAGATCTGGTACAAGACAAGGAAGGCTCAGCTCCCCTCCCCCTACTCCTTCACTCAAACCACAGCCACCAGGGCTGGGGTGGAGCTCAGTGGCAGAATGCTTGCCTAGCATGTGTGAGGCCCTGGGTTCAATCCCCAGGACCACAAAAAAAAAAAAAAAATAAAACTCATCTACAGTCAAACCACAGCCGCCACCTGTGGATCAACAAGGCCTCTCTCTCTCTTTTAAATTTAACCCCCAATTGCCCAAAAGATGTGCACCTGAAAGATGTGCATGACTGGGGCTGGAGTTGAGTCACTGCTCCTGCACACACCGGGGACTCTGAGCGCTCACCCTCAGCGTCTGCACGCTTCTGCATTTCAGCACATGGCAGCAAATTTTGAAGCAAGGGTGTAGAGTGCGCCTCTGGGCCTGGTGCTGGTGAGCTGCAGCTGCCTGCAGCCGCCTCTGCCCACCAACAGCACCAGCCCGACCTCTTGTTCTCACTTCAACCACTGTGGCTTCCTCTCTCCCCGTGGGAACAGGGCAGGGGGTCAGGGGCACCCACCACGCTTGGGCTCCTGGGCTTCTCTCTGCCAGCCGGGGAGTCCCACTGCCGCTGCCTATGTCAGCAAAGTCAGATGCCACCGGTGACCCCAATTCAAGTCACGTGTTCTCCTGCGTTTTCCCTGCAATCCCCAGGGTTCATAGATCCCTACAAGAGACGTTTTAAATCAGAACTGCATCCCAGGAGACCGGATTGAAGCCTCAGCTACCGCACCACAGGCCGTGTGCCCTCGGGCAAGTCCCAGCTCCTTTTCAGGTCATTTACTATGAATTGAAGGCTTTGCTCTTTATCTGTGGGTGAAACTCAAATTCCAAGTTGTCAGTGAACAGTTTGCAGATAAGGAAGCCAGCAGCCGGATGGCTCTGAGAGGTAGGGTGTGCTCAGCGTGACTGAGACTGGAGTGACCTGGACATACAATGCTGTGTCATGAGGGGCTCAGCCACAGGGCATGGTTGCTGTTGGGCATGTGGATTTCTTATTTAAAAAAGTTCCTGGGGGGGGGGGGGGTTGTGGCTCAGGGGTAGAGCGCTTGCCTTGCATGTCTGAGGCACTAGGTTCGATCCTCACCAACACATAAAAATGAATAAATAAAGATATTATATCCGTCTACAACTAATATATATATATATATATATATAGATATAGATATATATAGATATATATAGATATATATAGATATATATAGATATATATAGATATATATAGATATATATAGATATGTTCCTGATTTGTTGAGGGTGGGTGGGAAAGGTGGAAATGCATATTTCTAAGTGTTATCTTCTCAATTTTCAATGTCTCAATGTCTCAAATTCTAACCGTAAATCTGAGAGCAATTGCTGTGTGTATGGTGGTGGTGGTATACGTATTTAAGAGGGGGCATGATCACCAGAGGGTTCTGTGTGTAGGATCCTCTCCTCCCACAGTGCTCAGGGCTCTGTCCTAGAACCCAGCCTGAGCCTGGAATTTATTTATTTATTATTTATTTTTAATTGTAGATGGACACAATATATTTTATTTATTTATTTTTATGAGGTGCTGAGGATGGATCCCAGTGCCTCACACTGGGTGCTAGGCAAGCGCTCTGCTGCTGAGCTACAGCCCCAGCCCCTGAGCCTGGAATGTTGACTGAATCATTGGTGTCCCCCTTAAATCAATGTGCTGTGTGTATACTGATATCCTTAATAGATAGACATCTCTTACAAATTTAAAAGGAAAGAAAAATAGTGCTTTCACACAGAAATAGTGTACAGAATACATATGACCCGTCAATAAACATAAGTTGTATTCATTCTTCTCTAGATGTGGACTAGGCCTCGGCCCCAGGACCCAGCTGCTGGCCACCCCCTGGGTTGCCCGTGCCCTGATTCTCTAAGGCTCACCCTGATCTTCCCAGTCTTTTACATATTTATAAGCAGAAACAGCATTGATGGGAAAAACAGCACTTCAAACTATTTATTCAGCTTTGACTTTGAGGTGGCATTGCAGGCTGGGAAGAGAAGGACTGAGACATCCCCACTCCAGGCTAGGATCAGGGCTTTGTTATCGAGCCTAAGGGGTCAGCTTTCCTTCTCCTAGTAACACGACCTGATCCCAAAGTACACTCCTGTCACCAATGGTGCTGGGATTTACTGGCCCGGCACCCTTTGACAACATCTTGGGTGTGTCTCATTGCCCTCTGATCCTACGTATTTCTTTAAGGAAGAGCTACCTCTGTCTGGAAAACCTAAATAAACTCTCTAACTTTGCTTAAAAATTACTGATTTTGAAGTTACACAACTTGGCAATCAATACATTATTAGTCTCCCACTAGTTTTGCTGTTGGTAACACCTCTGATGTGTCTGTAATGATGGTAACAGTTGCCTAGGCTACTCTCCAGGGACCTGAAGGCCCCTTCCCTTTCTTCCTTTCTTCCTTCCTTCCTTTCTTTCTTTCACCAGGGATTAACCCCAGGGCACTTAACCATTGAGACATATTCCAGCCCTTTTTTCATATTGTATTTAGAGACAGGGTCTTGATGAGTTGCTTAGGGCCTTGCTAAGTTGCTGAGGCTGGCTCTGAACCTATGATTCTCCTGCCTCAGCCTCCCAAGCCAATGGGATTATGAGCATGTGCTACTGCACCTGGCCTGAAGGCCACTTTTGCTGAAAACGCACTCTTCACTTGGCCTGCAGACGTGGTTTGGGGGCTGGAACGGGAAGAAATGGCTTGGCATCTCTACCTTCA